GAGCCACATCCCTAGCACTTTTTAAATATTTTATTCAGAGACAGGGTCTCACTGAGTTGCTTTGCACTGTGCTTTTGCTGAAGCTGGCCTCAAATGTGCAATCTCCTGCCTCAGACCCCCAAACTGCTAGGATTACAAGCATGTACCACTATGCTAAGCTTGTTGTCAATTTTTTATATAGCTCAGGGAATAACCAAAGATGTCAAGGGTCCAAATTTATTAATTAAAACATTATAGGCACCTTTATTTTAAAAAATGAAATAAGACATTAAGTTGACATGGTGACATGTGCTTATAATCTCAACTACTTAGGAGGTGGGAGGCAGGAAGATTGCAAGTTTGAAGCCTGCCTCAGCAAAGTAGTAAGACCCTGTTTCAAAACAATAAATAAAAGGGACTGGGTGTAGATAGCTCAGTAGTAGAGCATTGGGCTAGCATGTATGAGACCCTTAAAAATTTTAAAAATATTTATTCTTATAGACTAATTAACATAAAGATAAATTTTTCATTTTGCTATAATGTACAAAGATAAGTTAATTTTTAAAGAAAAACTTGCTTCTGAAAATAGTTTTGCATAGAATTTTCTTTTTTTGCGGTACTGGGGATTGAACCTAAGGCCCCACACATGCTAGGTAAACTCTTTCTACCTGTGAGCTACATCTCTAGCCCTTTTAGTTTTACTTTGATATAGAATCTCACTAAGTTGACCAGGCTGGCCTTGAGCTTATGACCCTTCTGTCTCAGATTTCCAAGTAGCTGGGACTTCAGGAATGTACCACCATGCCCAACCATTACTTTTCTAAGACTAGCAGCAATAAAATATTTTGTGGGTCAAAATGTTATATGATTTTAGTTATTTTAAATGACATCTTTTACTTTCAGGAATGTATCAGAAACGACAAGTGATCACTCTTTTTTTTTTATTGTTAGTCGTTCAAAACATTACATAGTTCTTAATACATCATATTTCACAATTTGATTCAAGTGGGTTATGAACTCCCAATTATACCCCATATACAGATTGCTGAATCACATCAGTTACCCTTCCATTGATTGACAAATTGCCTTTCTAGTGTCTGATGTATTCAAATTACAGTTATCCCTTGGTAACCATACAAAATAAGTGCATGCAATATCCTTAGCTAAAATGAAATTGGGAGTCAGGGATGTAGCTAAGTAGGGGATGCTTGCCTAGCATGCACCAAGCCCTGGGTTGAAAGTCCAGCACCACAAAGCAAAATAAAACAAATCAAAAAAGTAGTATTGGAATATAACCTATATGCATCCTCCTGTATTCTTTAAAACATTTCTAGATTGCTAATCATACCTAATATAATTGTTTAGGGAAGAATCACAAGAAAAATATGTTTAATGCAAATAATTTTTAAAAATATATATTTTTGATCCAGTTGGTTGAATGGATGGATGTAGAACCCAGGGATGTGGAGGGCCAACTGAATTCTATATCATTACTGATGTAACACCAACCAAGAATTGAGGTGAATTTTCAAACAACTTTTTGGTCAATTTAGAAAAGTTACTTTTGTCTGTGGATCAGCAGAGATAAACAAAAATTGTGTTGGGACACAGAAGTGGGGCTACTGGCCAGGTTTACTCCCTGTTCTAGCATAAACATCCAATGACTGAAGGCTGAAATTCATTCCTTTCAAAATAACATATTAATGTAAGAGACTGATTAGGATCCCTTAAGAACAGTGGAAACTGTAAGTATAAAATGCTCAAGGGCAATTAACAAAATCAAGAATCTTCATTTAGAAACTGTTGTATGCCAGGTATTATGGTAGGCTACCAATAATTTTATGGGTAGCATTTCCCCTGTTTTATGAAAGAGAACTCTGAGGCCTGGAAAATATCATTTTTCTGAAAGAACTGGGACTCCTACCACTGTGGAAATCAGGGTAGCAGGGATTCTTTCTTAAGAATTTAAACTTTAAATCTTTATTTTTTTACAAGGAAGGTTTCATTTTTTGATCTCCTGGATTAGAAATTCTCACATTTCCATAAATGGAGAATAATATGGGAAGAGAGAACAAAGAAATAATGAAACTTGTTTTTTATTTCTTGTCATTATCATTTCAACTCTACTAACAAATTTAATACCAAAAAATTAAGTGACATTATCATCTGGTAATGTGCTTTACCTTTTCTTCTAGCATTCTGCACATGCCATCTTACTACTCTTTAGCCTCCAAAACAACAAAACAAACAACAACAACAACAAAAATAGGCCAGTTGTTTATTTTATTGTGGCTTCCTTTATGTGAGCCCTTTTTTTTTTGGGGGGGGGGCGCACTGGGGTTTGAACCCAGAGGCACATTTGTCACTGAGCTACATTGTTAATATTTTCTTTTCCTTTATTTTTTATTTGTCAGGTCTCAAACTTGCAATCTTCCCATCTCAGCTGTCAGAGTTGCTGGGATTACTGGTGCATGCCACCACATCCACATGATTCTATTTTATAATTTAGACCTCTTTATTGATTTTATATATTTGGAAAGTCACCGTCATCAGAATTTTATCTTTTAAAAAAAATTCATTTATTTTTTATGCTAGGGATCAAACCCAGGAGCATTCTACCTCTGGCCTGTATTTCCTGCCCTTTTTATTTTATTTTGAGGCAGAGTCTCATTAAATTACCATACTGGTTTCAAATTAAGTAGCTGGGATTACAGGCATGTGCTCAGAAATTTTAATCTTTAAAGCAAAGAATTAAAAAAAAAGAATTTTCCTTTAGGAAAATAACTACTTTGAAATTCACGTCTCTAAGAACCAATATTTTGGAACCCCTTGAAGGTTTCTATTGCATTCTTCTTTTTCTTTTTTTCAGGCTTATTTGTGTATTTCATGATTTTTTGGTTGAAAACTGAAATTTTAGATAACATGGTGTCGAAACTCTGAATTCTGATCCTGCTTCTAGCTTGTTGTTGGCTCTTTTTGTTTGTTCACTGACTCGAATTGAATAATCCTATAGTCTGCTTTGCCTAGCAGTGTGTAGCCACTGATGCCACTGCTCAGTTTTTTGTTTTGTGTGATCTTTTTTTTTAAAAAAATATATTTTTTTTTTTAGTTTTTGGCGGACACAACATCTTTGTTCATATGTGGTGCTGAGGATCGAACCCGGGCTGTACGCATGCCAGGCGAGCGTGCTACCGCTTGAGCCACATCCCCAGCCCTTGTGTGATCTTTTTAAGTCTTGTTTTCTGGAAGGCTACCTACCGGTCAGCATAGCTTAGCTGTCAGCCAGTTATAGGTCAGAGGTTTTGCTTAAATTATCTAAGCCAATAGGCTTCTGTTCTTTGCCATAAGATCTATGTGAGGTTTGGGGAAATGCTAAATTTAGTGAGTTTACCAGTTTACTATGTGTTTTGCCAGGGTCTAGCAGCTTACAAGGGCCCCTTTGTCTTCTCTCTAAAGCAGGTATAGCTTGGCACACACATGTGAATTTCCAGTCCACAAAAGTGTGATCTTAGTAGGGCTACTCTAGCTATACATGTCCCTGGATCTCCCTGATAAAGTTCTGGCTGGTTGGCCTTCTTATTGCTTCTTAAAACAATAACTGCCAGATTGCTAATAAGTCATCTATTGTTTTCAGCAATATCCTGGGCATGGATCTTCTCCAAGCTCTGGTCTATGTTCTCTCTGACCATATAAATTAATCTGCCCTACTAGGATTTTATATCCTTCCTTTTTTTTCCCTTCCTCCCTCCCTACAACAGAGCTACCAGCCCTTGTGGCTTACCCTACCAATGCAGAATAGAACCTGAGGGACCTCAGAGGTGGGAAAGGGATGGCAGCAGTTCCTGACTACAATGTCACAGACTGTCACTGATCTTATTAAAAGTTAAGAGCTCTGTTTGAATAAAGGTCTCTCAATTTGTGTTCTTTGGTTAATTTCCAAAGACAAATAAATTTTTTTTCTTTTCTTTCTCTTTGTAGTTCTGGGGAATGAACTCAGGCATGCTACTACTGAGCTACATATCAGCTCTTTTTATTGTTTTACTTTGAGACAGGGACTAAGTTGCTAAGTCTAGCCTCACACTTGTGATTCTCCTGCCTCAGCCTCCAGAGTTGTGGGGAGTACAGGGATGAACCACCATGTCTGGCTGGTTTTTAAACCAGTCTATTTTGGGGGAGAAGATTAGCCAAATTCCTACTCAGGCATTCCAAAAGTGCTGATTCCACTTTTTTTCCCTTCTTTCTAGTACTAGGATTGACCAGGGCCTTGTGTACATTCTACCATTGAGCTACATCCCCATCCCTTTTTTATTTATTTTGAGACAGGGTCCCCTAAAGTTTCTGAGGCTAGTCTCAAATCTGTGACGTTTCTGCCTCAATCTCTGGAGTTGTGGGGATTATAGGAGTGCTCCACCACACCTAGTCTGTTTCTACATTTTATTTTGAATGTTTTTATCCCCCTAATAATGTTCTAAGGTTCACTAACAAATACTAAATAGAACCATTTACTGAACTTTTAAGTTCCCACCAAGCAGACAGGACTAATCCAATAAAAGTCTGGAACCACTGAAAAAAACACTTTACCCAAATTGAGACCAGATGTGGGCTTCAACATTTTCAGAATTCCTCAATATTACTAGAATGTATTATTTTCTTGATTTACTTTTTATTATTGTCTAGATTTTTTTTTGTTGTTGTTTGTTTTGTTTTGTTTTGTTTTTGGTACCAGGGATTAAACCCAGGGGTGCTTAACCACTGAGCCATATCCCCATTTTCATTTTTCATTTGAGATTTTGAGATATGGGCTTACTAAATTCCTTAGGGCCTCACTAAGTTGCTGAGGCTGGCTCTGAATTTGCAATGCTCCTGCCTCAGCTTCCACAGCTGCTGGGATCATAGGCATGCACTAACGCACCTGGCTCTATATTTACTTTTAAAGACTAGGTAAAATAGGTCCTTAGACAAGAGCAAGATTAGGGGYTAAATAAAAGATGAATGTTCAGAAAGGCCTGACGTCACCCTACCTGGGCTCGCTCCTCATCAAACTCCAAGCATCCCATACCATCCAGTCTCTGAAGATCAATCCAGCCTTTCCAGATAACACAGACTCCATTCAGAATCATGGGAGCCTTCAAATACACCTAAGACATAGAAAAGAAGGATGAAAACCACTAAAAAACTATCAGATGTGTGAACATTAAAAGTTTAAGCTTATTTATAACAATCCATAGTTTTCTTTAAAAAATACACACACCATAGTCTCTGACATATTCTATAAATTAATCTGCCCTACTAGGATTTTATTTCCTTCCTTTTCCCCCTTCCTCCCTCTCTACCTACTTCTTCCTTTTCCTTTTCTTTCCCCTTTCTTCCTTTCATAGTGCTGGGGATCAAACTCAATGATAGGCAAGTGCTCTACCATTAAGTTTTTTTTTTTTTTTTTTTTTTTCAGAGTAGAAATTAGAAATTTATTAAAGGACAGAAGAAAAGACTTCTCCCAGAGGAAGAAGGGGACCCAAAAGGTGGAATCCCTACCATTAAGTTTTATCCTCAGACATAAGATTTTATTTCTAGTCACAATTTTCCAGATTATTTTAAAAAGAAAATTATATAGGATTTGTAAAAACTGTTCATAATAAGGTGATGCTTGAAGAATGTTTATTTACTCTTCCAGTTAAGGCTAGGACACCAGATTCTTTGTCCTGATGTTCTTCTGATTTTGCATAGAAAGATATAAAGAGGGAAAACAACTGGAACTCACTATCCTCTGATTAGAGCATGTACTGCTTCCTTCAACTTCGATACCTATAGCCAGCCACGGTTCAACTCTTCATGTTTCCTTTAGTTTTATAAGTTACTGCACAGCTTCCTGATAATTAATCCTGTTTTTCTCTTGCAAGGCATTATCTCTTCAAAGGAATTTAATTTAAACTATTTAACAATCATTAAAATACACCAGGAAATGTATTAGGTCACAGCTGTGAACTAATGTAAAATCAATAATTTTCCCAGAAATCAATAAATTAACCCAAAATCTAGTTATTTCAACTCACTGTTAAAATTATTATGCACTATCCATCAATAAATTAAAATATAATAAAAATTTAAGAATAAAACCAAACATTCTGAATTCTCAATAAGTGGGAATATTGTGATAAACATTAAACTTTATCAGAAAACTCCTATATCCTTAAGCTTTGGAATTAATTGAAGTTTTAAAGGTTTAAGCTTTCTTCTGCAAAAAATAACCAAGTTCTTCACCATTTCTAGAGTAAAACTCACTTTAAGACTTCCAAATTCATATTATTTTCCAGTCACCAAATTAATTTTCATACTGACTCATTCCTGACAGGCATGGTGGTACCCCACCTATAGTCTCAGCTACTTGGGAGACTGAAGCAAGGAAGATCACTTAAGCTTAGAAATTGGAGACCAGTCTAGCAAACAGAAAAAGACCTCATATCAAAAAAAAAAAAAAAAAATAAGTAATGAGGATGGTGCTAATGAGTGAATATTTTACTATGATACAGATAAGAACTTTAAGATAATTATTACACTTCCTACAATCTCCTCTACCCTAACAATACACTTTAACAGTTATTTTTTTAAAAACATCATTTTAGACCCTCACTACCTCATTTAATATGGGCTTCTGAATGAAAATTAGCATAGATTTTAATCATTTACTGCCTTGCTAAGATATTTTAAATGCAGAAGAAGCAGTACCTAAATGATACTCAAAACTCCAGGTAATCAAATACATCTTTAGAAATGAAGTTTTTTTATTACCTATGGATAAGTTCACTTATCCAAATGTACTTTCTCTGGATAATTTCAGTGCTCTGCAAGCTACTATGAGTACAGAAAATTGGTAAGACAGTTTCTCATTTGGGGGGAAAAAAAAGTTGGAAGCATAATTTTGTTCTTTACTTAATTCAGCAGGGTTTTTGTTTTGTTTTGGCACCAGGGATTGAACTCAGGGGTACTTAACCAATGAACCACATCCCAGCCTTTTTATGTTTTTTTTAGAGACAGGGTCTCACTGAGTTGCTATGGCCTAAACTAAGCTGCTGAGGCTGGCTCTGAACTCACGATCCTTCCTGCCTCAGTCTCCTGAGTCACTGAGATTACTTAGCAGTTTTCTTCATAAAGATCCTTGCATCCTTCTTGTTTTGAAAGATGCTCAATAAGAACCAACTTCCAATAATTACAAATATGCTAGAAAATTTGTTCCTGGGACACCTGTAATATAAAATCTATAGGACTCCTACTACATATACATTTATGTCACTTCCCTACACTGCTGAACACAACCATTTTTGCTAAGGGTTTCAAGAAACCATGATGAACCAATTTCAACTTGCAATAGGGAAAAAACCTCACCAAACCTAAGGTTCCATTTCTCCTCTCATTTGGATGAAGGGAAATAGTCTACAGTTAAGAGCTGAAACCGTTTAACCACATATTTCCTTCTGTTCTGATAAGTATTCATGCCCTTCCAACACTGTGAATTGAAAACTCCATCTATGTGCATCTAGTCATATGAGTGACTATGCTGACTGACCTAATGTTTAATACCTCACAAAATCTAAAAACAACATCCTACTATTCTTCACATCAATATAACTCAACGCACCACATCTGAAATGAAGATTTCCTCCTACTCTTAAATGGCACATAGTGGAGAGTAGAACATCTCACCTATAAGTGAACACCTATTTTAAAGTTTTATATGAATCATGAAAAGAATTCATCTAATAGCGAAGTCATCTTTAATACCACTTTAATCAAGATTTTATATTCTTCAAAAATGGCTTACATCTTTCAGAACTCAAAATGCCATAATCTCTTAGCTTATTCATATTAATTTTCACAAACATATTTTCCTTATAAAAATACTAAATTTTTTAAAAACCCATTTATTACTTCTTTATAAATGTTCTCTCATGACAAAGAAAACCACTGATTTGTTTTGAGAAATTCCTAAATGGCTTTAGAAAATGGCTACATTTCTTAATAAAGACTAATTTCTAAAATCCTAATTAAAAAGAACATTTAGATGATCCTGGTGATTTATTTAGATGTTCATATTCAAATAAATACAGTCTTATATGTAAATCTTCAAAGTAAATGGTGCTTTTATACATTCATGAATACCAAGCCTCAAAGTATGAAGAAAATATAATTCTGACTCTTAATAGTTTGGTATTTTGTAACATAATTCAATAATGTTATTTAAACACAAAGACATTTTACACTTAAGATGATGCCTTACTTATTTCACTCAAAACTTCAGAAAAAAATAATAAATATGACCCATGAATTAAACCCATTGTTCTAGAACAATTAAATATTTTTTCCTACAAAATGGATTTTATAAAGCTATTTTAAAATGGGTAAACAGATGCAGCTAATCTCAAGAAAACAAAATAGCTTATCTTTCCAAAAGTTAAATATCACAGAATGTGTGTGAGATTTCACAGGTTAAAACTAATTATAGCTTCACATTGTGTATTTTTCTTAAGAAAAGGTAAATGTTAAAATTAATACATTCAAGATCTAAATTATCAGTTTTGTGATATTCTATCTAAATTATTTATGCTATCATTTGATTTTCATATTTTGTATCTTCAAATTCCCTATCACTCAAGCAGTACAGAGTCATCAAAAACATGTTTGTACCATCAACTCTAGTACTGATATAATGAAACATTTGGTTAAAAAAAGGAAACAAGTATTAATGCTTACTATCATAAAGAAACCTTAAAAACATCATATTAAGTTCAAGAGGCCAGGAAAAGGACACATTTTATGAAATGTCCAGAAAAGGCAGATATAGAGACAGAAAGGAAATTAGTGGTTGCTAGGCGCTGAGGAGAGAGGGGAGCTAGGAATGACTGCTAATGTGTATGAGAATTCTTTTGGGGGTGATGAAAATATTCTGGAATTAGTTATGATAGCTGCACATCTCTGAATATACTAAAAATCACTGAGCTGTATACTTTTAGACTGAACCTTATGGTATGTGGATATCTCAATGAAGTTGTCATAATAAATGTTTGTAACAATTTTTATCTGTTATGTAAGTGACATATGAGATATCAAAAGGAGATTCCAAGTAGGAAGTAGCATATGGGATTTTAGCACTTTGAGAAATCTCAGATGATATTATAAATCTAGCAGCCACCAACAATATTGAATATGTGAAACTGAAGAGAAGGAAGAAGAGATTCCCCCAGGAGTAAATAGGGGGAAAAAAAAAAAAGAAAGACCCAGAAAGAACCTGCAGAAAAGTCCAACTTTTTGATGTTAGGTAGAAAAAAAGAATCCTGCAGATGGAGCTATGAACAGACAGGGGGGTTAAAAGAAAACAGGTCAGGAGCCCAGTGGCTAAAGGTTAGTTATAGATCCCCAAGTAAAAAACTTTCCCTTTGTTGGCTGTTACAGGATCTTGGATCACTCAACTTCTCTCAAAATTCTGTGTAAAAATGTATGTTGTGTCTACGTACATTTTTCTAAGGAAGACTACTGGTTTCATTATTCTTATACAGGTGTGCAAAGCAAAAATAATCCAATCATTATAGTAAAAACTCCATTCTTTCCCTCCCCTCATAGACAAACACAAAGATCTTTCTAGTAAAGGGCTTAATGGATGATAAATAACCTTAATTTAGTAAATGGAATAAACTCACCTCCCACTCCTATACACATACCTCAGGGACTGAACCCAAGGACAACTGATCACTAACTTACACCACCAGCCTTTTAAATTTTTTTTATTTTGAAGCAGGGTCTCGCTAAATTGCCCAACCTAGCCTCAAACTTATTATCTTCCTGCCTCAACCTCCCAAGCAGTGGGCTACAGCCTCCAAACTTTTTTTTTTAAAGATTTTTTTTACAACACCTTTATTCTTTTCATTTATTTTTATGTAGTGTTAAGGATCAAACTCAAGTCTCACACATACTAGGCAAGCAATCTACTACTGAGCCACAGCCTCAGCCCATCCAAACTATTTTAAGAGCTAAAAATTAGTAACCCTGTTTTGAAAAATAAGTGCCAAAGGAAGGGTATGAGAAAAACTACTCAACTTCTCATGTATTCACCCAACAGTTCCTTCTTTGAAATCTTGTTCAAAGAATA